CACACCATACTTTGTCTTCAAACTCACCAATTGTAAAAGAAACCAATGCTTGTTTCGAAACATGTACTCCTCCAACATTTGTGAGCCAATTAAGTTTGTAAGGATTAGGATGGTTCCTAGTCTCAAGCTGCAATGTATCCGTCATCTTCTTAGAGCATGCATTAGTACAAGAACCATTATCCACAATAACTGAACAACTACGCCCATTCACTAAGCATCTAGTGTGAAACAAGTTCTCCCTTTGTGCCATATCAGTCAAAGGAGTAGATTGAGCATGGAGAAGCTTTCTCAAAACAAGTGTGTTGTGATCCGGGGCTGCCTCACACAATGGTTGCTCTTCACACTCTTCCTCAAAGTCATATTCATTCTCCTCTCCTTCACGTTGCTCTTTTAGAAGTAAAGCAAGTTTAGCATCCTCCTCTTCTAAGGCTTGGTATCTTGTTAATGTCATGACCCTTCTATTAGGACACTCGGACTTGTAGTGACCTCTACCTTGACACTTGAAACACTTGATCTCCTCTTCAAGACTCTTCCTATGATGCATGAACGTAATGTGTCGTTCCATCAAAACAGTCATCTGTTCAAGCAAGTGAGTGATCGTTGATTTATTCTCCATGTTTGCGCACAATCAGTAATTTTCCCTCGAAAGTTTGTTGCTGTAGATTTTGCGTCACTTATCCAATGACCACGAAATTTTACAGTCTATAATTTTAGTCCAATAGGAATCCAACCCAAAAAAAATCACCGAAAAATACCAAGTAGATAGTTTGCAGTAACCTAAAACTTCCAACTGGTCCAGATCTGCGCCGAGAAGAACAAGAACCAAGAAACTAGCACGAATTGATTCTTGATTGCTCAAGAACAAGGATATAACGACTCAATAATCACACCAACAGCTCTGATACCATTTGATGCGTTTCTTGATTCGTTTGGTCTTAGGTTTAAACAAGCTTCACTCGTTTGTTTTCACCTAAGGGTTCTAAATCTGATTTCAAGGCTTCACTCACCTTAATCTCGTGATTTAGGGGTTTTTTGAGGATAGTTTGAATTAGCTTCACTCACTAATTAATCTAACCTCTCTTAAATCAGGTTTCACTCGCCTAATCTAAGGGTTTTTATGTTTAACTTCACTCGTCAAACACAAAGAAAACTTGGAAAGAAACGTTCCAAATTAACAAGCAATAAAGCTTTAATCAACAAAAAAAACTTCTTCTTTAATTCAAAGTTTACAACCTTTATTTATAGACTCAAAACTAATTCTAAACCTAATCAAATTAGAAAACTAATCCTAATTAAATTAGAATCCCATTTGACCTAGAAAACCTAAGAAAACCGAAACTTGATCCCCAAGTTCCTAATTCGGATATGACTAAACTAACTAAGCTTAATTCAACTTAGATTAGGTATTCAATCCTCCTAAAACTCCTAGACACGCCTAAAAACCAAAGTCAAGTCCTAATCCACTTAGGAATTTACTTTGCTAAAAACAAGTCCTAATTCAAATAGGAACTCTCTTTTGCTAAAGACAAGTCCTAATCTAATTAGGAATCTCTTTTGCTAAAGACAAGTCCTAATTCAAATAGGAACTCACTAGACCAAAACAATTCCTAATCAAAATAAAAATCCTAACGCTTAAAACAAGAAAAACCCTTTCAAGTGAAAGGTAAAAACTTGTAAGCCAAAATCTAATCTAAGAAACATTAAAGAAACGGACTAAGAAAGGAAACGTTGAATGCATCCGCATCACCAAGAATAGCAAGAACGTTACAACTACGATGTCTTATTACATAAGCTAGTAGAAACTAGAAATGCACCAAATATAAAAGGCCCAATCCTTAAAAACAAGGGCACATGCACATTCATCTTGGTTTTCTTATCGGGCCCCGCCATTTTTGCCCGTGGACCTATTTTTTTAACCCTATTTTCTAGGTTGATACAACTATAACATACCCCACAAATTTAAAGCCTTTCCACTCCCAATTTTCTTTTTTTTTTTTTGACAATCATTCGGATTGTTAATTGAACAAAACATTATTGTTGATAAATATATAAAATATTTTTGTACTGCTTCTCAATTTTTTTATAATTATTTTTTATTGAATGGAAAAATGCAGATGGTATACTAGATTTTATGGTTGAAATCAATGGACAGGAGGTAACCGACAGTTTTTTTTTTATAGGGTAAGTTTAACATATGAAATACTGCTTTTTATTTTCGTATGATTTTCAACTTGTGTTGTTTTCTGTGAATGGGTACAAATTCTTTAGGTCACACAACAGAAAGAATGATTTAGTTGTAGACAACGGGGACGAAAACTAACCCTTCAATTTACATTCGTATAAAGTTAGGTGTTGTACCTCTATTAATTTGCATAACTAGCTTCATTTTGAGATTTTAATGAAGAAAACTCATTCATAAATTTGAAGTAGTTGCCATTAGAAAAAAAAAAATTACGGGTTTGAAAATAGTTCCATTGTTGATCTTGTATGACATTAGTGTCTTTTGGCCAATTAAAGATTGGTCATGATGCTAAAGTAGAAGATCATGACCTATTAACAAACTTTAAAAGGGATGAACTATTAATTTGAGAAATGCAAAGAGTTATCTCTCGTTGGAAGTCCAAAGAGGATCTAATGAGGAATTGGAGTTGTAACTTATGCTAATTGCAAGCATAAAAATGAATTTTCATATAAGAGGAGTGTTTAAAAAAAAAATAAAAAAATTCCTATATTAATTCATAACTTTGAAGAATATGTACATTATGTTAATTATTATGTATTTCTATTGACCACACAACATCAATTAGGAGTATATTATAAATGTTACAGATTTTCATGTTCAAGGAAATAAATAAGATGTCTATATAATCAAACAATCACTAAATTGAATAAGTAGTATAATAACTAACTTTAAGTTCTTACAATTTAAGTACATATTGTGTACTTTGACATTTTGTTTAACTAAGTGATAAACTGATAATGGTACTATGTGCCCAATAGCCTATGTATTTTAACATGTTTTTTTCTGCTTTCCATTTTTTTTAATAGGGTAAGTTTAACATATGAAATACTGCTTTTCATTTTCGTATGATTTTCAACTTGTATTATTTTCTGTGAATGGGTACAAAATACATAGTTTAACATTTGTATTTTAAATTTCTTATGTATTTTAACATGTTGTTTTCTGCTTTCCATTTTGTTTAACATTTTCGAATATGCATTACAGGGTGTCATCTTGAAATATAATTATAAATATATTAAAACACGTACCTGGTTCTAACTTTAAAATACTCTACTTTAATTAAGTACTTAAGATTTCTTTCAAAAAAAAAAAATACTTAAGATCTAACTCAAAGGATTATTATAATTGAAAAAACAATTCTATGATGTATAACTCACTTAAATGCCACCTACAAATTTAAAACAACCATAGCTATGGACTATGGAGAGTAATTTGAAACAATTATTAGATGCATTTAACAAATTACCCTCAATCTACAAAATGTTGGTATCCTTCATTTAATACTGTGCGTATACATCAACAAGATAATTGGTCTTATTTAATTCAGTTGGAGCAATTAATAAAGTCTTGCCTTTTTCCTTTCCCATGATACACCATGATAATAAAGTAATAAACCATATTTGTAAATTACGTAATTTTTTCTTACCAATAATTTCGATAAGTCGATTACAGATGGATCTTATATTCATATTGTGTTAAACATACCCATATATATGCTTGATACACAAATCCTGCTTATAAATAGTTAAATTAAACTAGTCACATTGTCCACGTAGATATAAGTATAGAGATAAATATTTTTTTTTTCCCTGTGCAAATGAGCCACAAGAACAATATAATTTCCAAATGAGGTGGGGGAATTTGAACATGGGACCTATTGTACACATGCTCTCAGTCTTAACTATTAGACCAAAATCCTATTGGTATAAAGTGATGCATCTTACAATAAACTACTTTCATGTTTATAACTGTAATTTTGTTCTTTATGAATATATATAGAGAGAGATAAATATTGACAATAAACAACTTCCTTGATTTCAAATTTGTTATCTATGAATATAGAGATAAATATTGACAATAAACAACTTACTTGTTTAATTTCCAACATTTAGTATCTACCTATATAGATACAAATCAAGTTTTCAAATTGATAATAACCAACTTCCTTATTTTTCACCTTTTCTTTGTTAGAACGGTGAACGGTCTTTAATTGTTCAAATTATATGTTGATTTTCCTTCCAAAATTACTAATGACAAAAATTTTAAAATTCACCTCTTGTCTTCATTGTGCTAATTTGTATATATGTTTACTCTATGTTTTCTATATTAAGATATGTCAATGTAAAGTGTATTGTATATTTTGTATTCAATTTTTTTATGTTAAATGAATATTACAAATTACTATATACTTAAATTCAGCCCGTTTAAACAAATGAGTTAGGCCTTGTTCTTTTGAGCTGTTCTACTCTGCTCTACTCTGTTGAAATCTGCTTTACTTTGCAGTGTTGGAAGCTCTACTCTGCTCTGTTGAAGTCTGCTCTGTTCTGCTCTACCGAATATGCTCTACTCTGCCCAAAAGCTCAAAAGAACAGGATCTTAATCGTGTTAACACATCAAAATTAACAACTTTAAAGCACAAACACGCTTATTCAATGTCCCAATTATATTGGTTGGTTAAGTTGGGTGAACTTTGCTACTTCTACACTCCCAAGCCACAACAAACATTTAATTACCCATTAGCTGTAAATACACGCGACGTATTATTTACACGTAACAATTAAACATATGACAGTTCATATCATAATAACATTGAAAACATTCAATTCATTCTAAAGAGCACATACTCCGCATAAAAATAAGAATGTTTTAGGTATTATAGAGTATAGACCGACACCAAATATCTAAATGAATCAACTTTATACGGATATAGCAAAGATAAAAAGAAATTAAAAAAAAAAAAGAGAGAGAGAGAACTTGTCTTTCAAAAAAACAAAAACAAATAAAAAAAGAACTTGATTAAGATATGTAAACATATTTAACCGAAATATACGCAAAATATACTCTTATAAAAATAAAACTAAAAAGTCACGAAAATTAGAATTTATTTATTTATAATATATACTTGAATAATAATCTTAAGCTGATGATAGATTAATTAGATTTATGATTGCTGATACCATGATACATTGTTACCCAGCTACCTCCTATAATAAAAAGGAAATCTAACAATGAAAGAGTATCAATTCAATTCACTCCCCTTTCTCTCTCCTCAATTTCTCTTTCTCTCTCTTCAATTTCACTTTCTCTCTCCTTTTCTGTTGGTTGTAATGTGGGTGAGGTGAGGTGGTGACTACACTCTGCAACCTGGCAGCAATGCACTCTTCCCCTTTTCTCCTCCTTCAATAACACCACCACACACCACACACCACCTTCCTCCGTGGTACATTCGTGTTTTTGTCGATCGTATCCATAGATCTGGTTGTTTTTAGAATCGAGTTGATTTGCAAATCAGAATCTCCGGGATGAAATTTGGTCACAAAGATCCGGAGAAGCTGATTTGGGATCAAATGAGAAGCCCGTCTTCTGTAAACGGCGTGGGTTCGAACCAGAATAGAACCCTTTTTCCTAAGCTTATGCTTTGGTTAATTCTATCTGTTTCCGTGACTTATCTCGTTTATACTCTTAAACTCGTCTCTAATCCTCACCCTTGTGACCTCCCAAACCACCGCCACAACCACCAGCATCTCTTCGACTCCTCCGATATCTCCCTCATCAATTCCTCGTCTTCTTCTTCCGTGTCCGACCACCGTCGATTATCCAATTCGGTCCCTACTCAGGTTGAGAGAATACCCGATAACGGGCCGGGAACAACGAACATCTCCCACATAGTGTTCGGCATTGGTGGGTCCGCGAGTCTGTGGGAGGGGAGGAAGCAATACATCAAGACATGGTACAATAAATCCGAGATGCGTGGCATTGTTTGGCTAGACGGCGAGGTTGAACACATCGATGATGACAATGAAACACTCCCTGAGATTAGAATATCAGAGGATACTTCTAAGTTCAGGTACAATAACAAGCAGGGCCATCGCTCGGCGATACGGATCTCGAGGATTGTGTCGGAGACATTGAGGCTAGGGTTGAAGAATGTGAGGTGGTTTGTAATGGGAGACGATGACACCGTGTTCGTAACGGAGAATTTAGTGAGGGTGTTAAACAAGTATGATCATAGAGAGTATTACTATATTGGGAGTAATTCTGAGAGTCATTTGCAGAATATTTATTTTTCATATGCAATGGCTTATGGTGGTGGTGGTTTTGCAATTAGTTATCCTTTAGCTGTTGCTTTGTCTAAGATGCAAGATAGGTGTATTCAAAGGTATCCTGCTCTTTATGGGAGTGATGATCGAATGCAAGCTTGCATGGCTGAACTTGGTGTTCCACTCACTAAAGAACTCGGGTTTCATCAGGTATGAATGAGTTCGCCTCCTTCGTTTTCAATTAGACGGAATTTGATCACAGGTCTTGATTAATTTGATTTATTTAGAAGTGTTTTTGAATGAGTTGTTATTGAGTTTTTTGGTAAGTTGTTTGAGAATCTAATTGGGAATAATTACTTACCTTAATGGTAGATTATTGGGTTCAATTAGAGGTAGTAAATGGGATTTAAAATGATTGATGAAATGGGGAATTTTGTGCCGTGTAATTTGCTGAATTTTGGTGCTAAATCTGTGATAGTTGGAGTTAAAAGTGACCTCTGTTTTTTGGCATACAATAAGATTGAGTTGTGTGGGTCCCACTTTGTAAATTTATGTTTGGCCTACTTTTATTGTTGCTGCGCGTGTAAAACACTGCTCGCTGAAGGATAAGTGTGATTCTGAGTTCTTCGAGATTTTTATTTTTTTATTTTTTAAAAGGGTAATGCTATACATAGTATATATAAGCATTAAAAACACTCTTGAAAATTATATATAATTAGGAATTCACGACAAAAACACGCATAGATAGTGTGTTTTTGTCATGATTTTCTAAATTTAAACAATTTTCAAGAGTGTTATTATGCTTATATGTAAGGGCTATGTATAGCATTTTCCTTTTTAAAATTATTTTTTCCGTAATTAATACTGTATTTAATAACTATTTGGGCTTGTCGGTGTAGTGTAATATGGAAAATATTTGGGTATAAAATAGGATTAGGAGTATAAATTTAGTCATTAATAAGCAAAGTTGGATGTAGGAAAATAATTGTTGCTCTAAGGAAAAAGGTTGGTCAGCCTACATTGACTCCTCATCTAGGGAACTTAAATATGCTTCTTTTATTTTATTATAGATTTGTTCTAAAATTGAGGCAATGAAATGGCTTCTAATTAAGTTGAGGTTTGCTTAATTTACACTATAGTCTACTTTTTCAGCAAATTACGGGTGTTTGTTTGGCGAATAATGCTAATTGTTGCTGATCGAAATTGATAATTACGAGTACTTAGGATTCCTGTGAATCCTCGTAGTTACACACTTGCTAAGGGCCTTAGAAGGGGTAATGTGGGGTGTTAATGTGTTATGGGAAGCTTAGGAATTAATATATGATGTGTATCACATTTGACAGATTAAACTTTGTTTGGTAAGACTTGTTTAGTGTGAAATGTGAGCAGTGTTCTCTAAGGTGAAGTGTTCAGTTACATTATCTTGTTCAGATTATAAAAACAGGAAACAGGACAAGTTTCAGTTTGCTCCTCATTATAAGCGAAAAAGCCGCATTGTTTGATCAATTTGTTTATAAGAACAACCTTTTGTTTCTCACTGATTATAAATATATTGTTTTTGTGGAACTTGTAGATTGATTGTACGGAGTATATTATTATTATTATTATTATTATTATTATTATTATTATTATTATTATTATTATGAGGCCTTTAATAATTCCTAACAGCAAGCTTTATTGGTGGAACTTTGCAAAAAACCAGTATGATGTCTATGGCAACCTATTTGGACTGCTAGCTGCGCACCCGGTGACACCATTTGTCTCTCTGCATCACTTGGACGTGGTAGAACCCATCTTCCCAAATGTGACTCAAGTTCAAGCTATACAAAGGCTTACAATCCCGATGAAATTAGATTCTGCTGGCCTAATGCAGCAATCTGTATGCTACTTTAAGCCTAAGAAATGGACCATCTCAGTGTCATGGGGTTTTGCTGTTCAGATCATTCGGGGTGTCTTGTCGCCCCGTGAGATGGAGATGCCAACAAGGACATTCTTGAATTGGTATAGAAGGGCTGACTACACAGCTTATGCATTCAACACTCGTCCTGTGGCCCGAAATCCATGCCAGAAGCCCTATGTTTATTACTTGTCAAAAATCAAATTTGATAAGGAGAAGAATCAGACAGTGAGTGAGTACTTGCGGCATCGTGTGCAACACCCACTGTGCCGATGGAGGATGGTTGAGCCTTCAACGATTGATAAAGTGATAGTATACAAGAAACCAGACCCGCAATTGTGGTCTAGGGTAAGTTTCATTTCCAATGCTCACTAATTTGTTGCTTTGGTCATTGTTTTTGGTTTGCGTTAGTATTTCTGCACTTGAGAATATTTTATACTCCAGATTTCTGCTTTAAATGCATCCATAAGTCAGCATCATGAAAGCTCGTCTTTCCTAGACCGCCTAATACAGATTTATACTCCTAACTAGTCAGTGTTCATGTGCTATCTCATTTGGAAGCGCTCACTTCAAAGAGCCTTGTGTTCTGCATTGTGTCCCGAGAAGTGGCCAAATTTTGCATTGTCATGAATGTGATGAAGAGTTGGTTGTTAGTGATACATCCTTAGACAATATTTAATTACATTTTGCATGTGTAAGCAGAGGGCTTAATAGTATTGCATTGTGATCTTAGACATTGCATATGCATTAGTTTAATTTCGTACGGAACCAAATCTTGATCAAATACTCACATTCGAAAAGCGAAGTGGTTGGCATTCCTACCTGAGGAAATGGCTGGCATTTCAGTATCAGATTATATTATATTAATCCTTAATTAGGTGTATTGCGGAAAAACTTTGCTTACTGGGAAAGCTAATTCATCTGCATTGTTATTAACCAGATTGATTGTCACATGGCATGTAAAATACTCTTTTGGTTGATGCTCACATATTTCTTTACTGCTTTCCAACAGTCTCCAAGAAGGAATTGCTGCAGAGTATTGAAGTCGAGGACGAACGGGACCATGCTTATAGATGTCGGTGTATGTAAGGGAGGTGAGGTTATTGAAGTATAATACTTGAGAACAAAAGAGAAAAAAAAATCATTTGAATCATTTTGTTAGTCTTAATTAGTTTATGTCGGTTTTTTTTTTTTTTTTTTTTTTTTTTTTTTTTTTTTTTTTTTTTTAAATTTTTCTGCTGTATTCAATTCTTCTGTAGTTTTATCTTCTGTAGTTTTTGACCTTTTTCCATTGCTTTTCTTAATGGTCCCTATCTAACCCCCTTCTTTTCTAACTTGTATTTTAGGCATATATGTTTGTAATGGTATATCATTTTCATTTATTTGATCCTTTTTTTTTTTTAATTTTTTATTATTATCATTATTATTATTGTAAGTTATTAAAATTCTCTTTATAGTATAGAGTAATCTATTTATGTTCCTAACAAATTTGATTCTTTTAATTAACATCTAAGTTTAGCATTATGTATATGGTTGTATCTTTGTAATTGGTGATGATTTATGAATCATGATCATCAAGAGAAGTAAATAGCGTGAAACAAAAGTGAAGGTGATGGTGATTTGAACAATAACTATTGTATTCGTAACCAAAAAAAAAGTTATTAATGGACTAATCAAGGTGTTAAGTCTTCTTTTGACAACTAAACATTCTCTGTTTGAGGGTGCTTCACATGAGGAGCCGGTTTTTTTCACTCTTGATTATAGTGGTTTTCCCATTTCATTAGTTGACACTTGATTATTTGCCGGTGCCTTATAAAACAATCTGGCCCTCCCTCTCATATCTTCAAGGCTTCAATGCGAGATTGCGAGGATGGTCTCACAATAGCTTATTGTTGAATATTACTCGGTACTTCATTTCTATAAGATAACATAAATATTTTTAATTTTGCATTATATAATTTTTCCTTTTATATATTGAAAAAACAATTACTGTATTAAGTAATGCGGTAACTCGATAAGTTACTGTCAATTATAGTCTTGAGAGAAGACTATTCTAACTTCTTAAATATACTCCTTAAATTATCTACTACGTACTTTGATAACCTTTTTTTAATACGCAGTAGAAGGCTAGAGAAGTGGATGGGTTGGGGAGTAAGCATTAATCAATAAGAGGTAAGACTTTGTAAAGTGTAATTTTGGTAAAATAATTGTGTTGACCGACATAAGTCGGAATTACTGAAGGCGATAGAAGGTTCCTAGTCTTCCAACCCAGGAATTGATTAAGATCTTCAATAAAAGTAGGTACGACTTGTTTAGCCTTTTAACTGAACAATTGCTTTATTTTATTTCCATGAGCTATGGCCTTCCATATTGTGGGACTCGGCTTCTTTTTTACAACTAAACATGACAGGTTTTTCTTTCTACTTACTAGTTACTGGAGTACGACGTCTTAACAAACGTTGAGCTTGTATTGCAGATAATTTATGTTTGGATTTAATTTACCTTATCTTTTATTTTAATTTAATGAAAATAAGTTCAGGTGAAATCAAATAAGTAAAAGTCAGGCTAATATATTGTATTTTTAATCAATGATCAAGAGTTGGTTATGACGACGTCCAACCTCTCATAATTATCCAAAATAGAGACATCGAAGTAATTTCATTTATAATACGGAACTTTGAAATCAAATATACTACAACTCTTTTCACATAATTACTTGGTACTTTTTCGTCATTGTCACATATTAGGGAGTATCAAACAATAGCAATTTCATTCTTTAATTTCTACACGCCATTACTCAATTTAAGGGACTTTACAATTAATAAATCTCCTCCTTATTAGAGAACAAAACATTGATATTTAGATAATATGACCCTGATCAGTGACCACTAATTCCAGATAGATAAAAGTACGATGAATAATTTTATGAGACAAGATTGGTCAAGAAGAGTAAATGGCACAATTCAATGCATAAATTATACATAACTCTTCAATTATTTCCTAAAACCAGTACATACCAAAAGATTGATAACCAAAACTCTATGACCAAAGAATCAAATAATCCTAAATAATAGAGCAACATTATTGAACTACTAACTCACTATACTCACTCAATAAACGGACTCAAATAGCCAACAAAATTGAAGCATGGTTTGGTAAACAAACCACTGAATGGTGGGACCATTTCTCCATTTTATTAATTTCTCAAAATTTTGGGTCCTTAATTAAAAAATAAATTGACGTACTAGGTAAAATACCCTTGCAATAAAATAAGTCGGTGATATACTATACCGCACTAGTGTGACACAAGCCATATCGGTGCCACGTGTGGTAATGCAAGACACATATGACCAATCATAGGAAGACACCCGTGAGCCTAAAAGATACCTTTTCACTATGTTTTAGTAGTGGTCCTAGTCGTATTAATGTATCATTAGCGTATAAAAACTATAGCTTATTTTTTTAATTAAACAGATTTATTATAATTATTTGGGATTCTCTTGATCTGCTTTGTGAAAATAAAACAAATGATTAACGTATAAAAGTGCCATTATTTTAGGAGGAATAGTATATAAGTAAAAGGGTAGGTGTCAATTTAAGTGGGTCCTAGAATATTGTCCGGGGGGACTGGGGAGTTGGTGAAACCGACCCGTCAATAGAGAGGGTAGGGTAGCCAACATATTAGAGTTACTACTATTCGTATTTCTTTCTTTTTTTTTTTTTTTGAAAAAACTACTGTGCATTCGTTTTTTTTTTTTTTTTTTTTTTGTCAAGGATTGTAGACAATTTTAGGGGTCAAGCCGGTCAACTCTATGTATAGATAGATTAAAAAAAAGAAAAAAATAAAATTGTGTACGTTAATATCTCCAAGACAAGATCTCATAAAACATGTGATAATTATATAATATATACTACTTTGTATTAGGCATTATTCACTTCACTTTATTTTTGTTGAACTTAAATTATTTTTATTGAATTAAAATTAATTTTACAAATTCTCTATTATATTTCGTCTTTAGAGTTACTGATTCATACTGAACTGAAATTAATTTTATTAAACTAAACTTATTTATACGAAATTAAAATTAATTTTACAGAGTATTATTTTTTAAAGGTGAACTGAACAGAATCTTACTTGTTCCACCTAAAAATAATTAACACAGTTACTTAACACACATGTCGTGCACTATATGTTCCTACAAGTTCAACCTTTTTATATACTTCTTAACCCGTAACATTCAAGTCATCTTTGGAATTTATAAATAACAAACCAAATACGGAATAATTTACGTAGTATAATGTATAAACATAGATAAAAACCCGATCTTAATAAGTGAAATAACATAGCCGGGCTAAGTTACAAAAACTCTGTAAGCTCGGCCCACTTCTGGGCAAGTTTCTACTCTCTAGTCTCGTTAAGTTTGGGCCAAACAGTCAAATTTTCAAAAGTCATTTAGCAGCTCCAAAGTTCAACTAAGTTGGTACCAAATTAGGGTCTAACCTACTTACATTAAAATATAGGGAGTACTTCATTTGTTTCGTATGTAATACAAAGTTACTTTTATGAATGATTTATATTTATTGCGACTTCTTATTTGTACGTGTTTTTCTTTATCTCTCATCTCAGCACATGAGTTCTTATTTTACATTTTCACGCTAATTAGTTTATGGAAACATGTCCAAAATCCAGAGTTAGAACCAGTATTCACAATTAATGATAAAATCATGCATATTTAGCAAGAGAAAAATATTCATGATAACTTGTCAAGCCCCTAAACATAAAAAATCAAGCAAACAATAATGTACTGTATCAAACAAATATACCAGAAGACAAACTATAAAACAAAAGAAGTAGCATTATGATTATATGTACCTCCTGTCAATTTTCATAGCATTTGTTGAAGTGATAATCATTCGATATTTCGGGCTGTTATAGTTTCTGCAATAGCAGAGCTTTTGTTGCCAAATTTTAACATAACATGATGCTGACACTTGATCACATCGAACGGCCGATGAAGCCTGAAATTAAGCCAGAAGTATTACTAGAAGAATAGGTAATGTTGTACGAATGTATGATACTATGATGATGATCTAATTTTTGTATCTTGCCATGTAGTGGGCCTAGTGGTTATGTTCTACTATGATGAAATAGTAATTACGAATTAGAAGAATGCATTAATTATGTTGATGCGCATTTATCTATGAAATAGCTAATACAAATTGGTTGTTGGTGTAGCGGTGACTGGGGCTAAACTTGTTAGGGAGGACAGCGTATTCGATCCCCTGCAATAATAATTGGGAGGGGATTAATCCTCGAATCCGAATTAGCCCAAAGGGTAAAGTAGGTGGAACACCAAAAAAAAATAAAAAATCTATGAAATAGCTAATAGTCCACTGATGTGTCTCTTACGTTATGATCAGCTAGACTACTTTTGTGTCATGCCAAATCAACCCTTATATTAACCTTGACTCATGCCTATGTTAACATGTGGAGGTTTTGGCCTTGGTCTTAATGATAGGGTCGTTTGGCACCTCATTATCGACTAGCTCTATTGATATTCAATAGTAATAATTTTAAATTTTATATTTCAATTTTTAGGGCTTGTTTAATTATTAGTGAAATAATGGAAAAACTTTTATCAAGATTAATCTTATACAAAACCATAACATCACAATTACCGATTAATACATAACTAATTCAGATTGCACGTCCGTATCATCACTATACTATTCTAAATATTTGCTCCATACTTGTTTATTTAGGCCTGTTATATCTGTACAAAAGAAAATTTTGACTTGACCTAGCCTTGAGGATAGTTTACACTTTTTCTTTTATAGGCTCTCATATTCAATTGCAAGGATAACTCTCAACTGCTCTTGTAATCAACTAATCATACTCAATCTAAAATTATCTCTAGAATACCCCTTATACTATTAATTGATTTATATTCTATATAGACTAACTTAATTGATAATTAAAGACTCATATAACAATTGTTGGTATTGATTTCGAGTTTCGACCTTTCTCATCTATCTTTGCAAATGACTATTGAGGGTTTAGGTAGACCATCTACAAAAGGAACAAAGAAAATTGGAACTATTGGTGCAGTTTTTGAGTATTGGGCCGAAAATACCTTGGTCGGCCCATAATTCTATGCGTATGGGCTTAGTTTTCTGATCCTTTGAGTACCCACTCTCTTCCAAATTCCAATCAAGCCCAACCTTTTTAACGTGGGCTGTCCGCTGTCTATAGGTATCAGTAAATAACTAATTTTTCTTACATTGAAAAATAACACTTTATATCTCAAATTACTTGCCCTGTTTAGTCACCTAATTATTTGTTTTAGTGACACCATGTTGGGTTTTTTTTTTTTTTTTTTTTTTTCCTTGTGTAAAAAGACCGCAAGGTTAATGATTTGAGTACCATTTTCAAAATTTTAATCTACTAAATTAGTTGACATCCACCTCTTTTTTTTATTTTTTTTGGTTTGGTATAGAACATTCATGTAAGTAGATGAAATTACATGAGTGTTATAATTAAGTTCACCAATATTGAGATGGCAGTATACAGGATTGTCATTGAGTCGTTGCGATGAATCATTCTAGTTTTAATGACATGATGTTAATCGTTAGTAAGAATATTTGACTACTATTCCGAAGGTTGCTTATCAACAATGAGACACATAGGCGATGGTACAATGAAAAAAATGTCACGTTGATATATTTAATTTATGACGATTAAAATCGTCGTCATTGTTAGTTTAGTTTATCAATAGCGTCGAAGTGATAAGCTATAACAACTAATTGATACCAATTAAATTAAAAAACACCCTTGATGCATCTATAAATAGATGCATCCTTTTTTCATAGCAATTGTTAATAATATGATTTTCATCCTTTTTTCATAGTAATTATTAATAACATGATTTTCTTTTTTCAATTTTGAGAGTCCAAGAGGGGATGCTAGAAATATATATGAATCAATTAAACATAAACTTCAAACATGTAGTAATATCATAATTCTGTTTTTCAAGAAACAATTTGAAGAAGTAACACCATGCATTGTCAAAATGGCAATATCAAATTATAGATGAGAATGGATTTCAAATTGTATATATATCAAACCCGTAAAAAAAAAAAAAAAAGTTGTATATATATCAAAAGTTTAAGGCTAGTTGACATTTAGGAGAAGGAATAATAAACATGATCCTATTCGATCAAGGATCGGAGAAATTTTGTAACATCAACGAATGTTTGATTATTCTAAAAACCGTCCAACCAAAAGAATTCCATTAATGAAAATAAGTTCTTAGTGTCTTGCACAATTAAGAAGATGATCACCATCGGAGAGTGATAAATCATGCATGGTCCATGCACATTATCAACTCTCCAACAAAAGAATGCAAATAATATAATTTTCGTTTTGCTTAATCTTTCAAACTTAAGATCACCAATCAAATTACAAAGTACCTCTCTTTATTATGAAAGTTATTTGTGTAGATAAGGCCTCACCAAAGTCGTTATTTCATCTTAACATGAACCACAAATGGTTCAATCAGCTACAGTGGCCCCCCTATCAAAAGTTCCTTGAAGCAAAGGGTTTTTCTTTTTTCTTTCTTTTATTTTTTAGGTTGGAGGAAAAAGACAATAAAAATAGAAAATAATTTATAAACCAAATTAGATTATAGTAGAATCTTTCAATAACAAGGAAATAATACACTAATAATTTTTTTTCCTTATAGATTCTTGCATCAATTCACAACATATTTACTAATTCTCTAATTGACTCTTTCAACTTTAACCAAAAAGGCAATCGGTAGCAGAGTCATGACCTCCACAATATGTGGGTCCAATCGTTCCTTGAATAACCGTATCATAGACGACATATCTTAACAATGCAAGAAAACATAGAAAATATAAGACTTATAACAAAAAGAAACCAATTACTCAGTATATATGTATGCCCACAAGTATGAAATTCCCTCATTTTTAACATTTTCTTTTCCAAGTGGAGCCAATAAATTTTACCATAGGCTTGATGTTTAATGCTCCTCAAACCACTCTAACATTTCCAAAACAATAAAAATGCCCAAAAAAGCCTAGTTCAACATCTTTAACATGCACTCAATATATTCCATGATCACTCCCATTTAATTTAGTTCCACCTCCCATTGTTTAGCTATATATATATATATATATATATATATATATATATATATATATGTATGTATTCATGTATCAATATATCATGGAGTATTATAGATATTTAATATAGAATCACTAGTTTAAATTGAGCCCATCTAGCTTAATACCTAACCTAATACCTACTTAGTATAAGATTCCTTACAAACTAAGAAATTAAACCTCAAAATATGAATTACCCCATATATTTGATGATCCGAGCTTCCAAGAATTTCAATTCATTTGGATGATGATAATCTCTCATAATATAACATAATCAGCTACGGGTGATTAGGCGAAATCATGGAGTACTTGTGCACCCATCAAGTTCCTGTAAGGCAAATTGTTCTGCCCTTGATTTTCATCCAAGAGAGTGTACTGATGATTATCATCCATTTGCTCTCTAGGATAGAAGAGGGAAGCTGCTGCCTGAGACGCGGGCGAAAACGCTAAGCTCACCCCATTACCACCATGTTGTTGCAACCCTAGTGTCAATGACACATTTTTGCCACCACCAAAGCCTTGGTGAGGGGTACTATTGTCATTTTGAGCAGTAGTCCCATAATTTGCTGCATGGTGCTGTTGGTTGTATGATGAGGAGGATGGAAAATCCAAATGATCCACTGAACCAAAACCCTCAACCCTACCAATAAATTGACCATTTTGTTGAAAATGTAAATGACTCATCCTGTTTTGAGTGTCAACCCTACTCGAGGTGGCCGTGGTGGTGGTGGTGTTGTTGACAATGGAGGAGAGTGAGTCCGGATCAATCCGAATGAGTTGATCAGGGTCCGGTTTTTGTTCTTGTGGTGGTTGTTGGTGGTGAATAAGGCCACCGAGATGATCCGTAGTAGACAGTTGATGCTCGGTACCACCATCGGAGGAGGAGCCCATGTTCTTGTCTTGCTCCTCTTTGGTCTCCTCTAGGTACATTTGCTCCACCATTGGCTTCCATAGCCTCACTCTCGCATTAATAAACCAATTAGACACCTAACCATCATATCCATAATAAACTTAATTAATCAAATTATTAGCATACACCAAACACTTAATCACCAATTAAAATGCATAGTTTGTTAGACTAATTAAAAAAACAAGTGTATATCAATGTATATATGTAACATCTATCATGACTAAGCTAAAATGTCTTATTGTGGTATTATTCTTACTACATCTAAAAATATTAATTGTACAAACATGATTATACTTATTGGATAATGTAGATATATTAATTCTACAATTAGCATAGTAACATTCTCGCTTACCTGGCTTCTTGTAAGACCGGTTTGACGTGCTAAGATGTGCTTATCGACGTCGCTTGGGTACCTGAGAAGGGGAAGAACATTTATATTTGGAAAATACGTGAGTTTAAGTTCCAAGCCATGGAATTAGATTCCATAAGAATTTTGTACCACTTTAGCTAAATACTTAGCTTGACACTTTTATTTTAGTGGAAATTTTGTATGGTTCTTTGAGTGGTATAGAAAGAAAAATGGGGCCTAAAAAGATGAGGAAGTGAACAAATATGATTGATGAAAACATGACAAAAAACGATCAAATAAGAACAAAGTAAGACGATTGGAATCTTGCAAAAGAATAACAAATAAATCGAAGCGAAAAAATAAAAATAAAACTAACAAGAGCATGTGGTAGCTAGTTCCTTGTAAACTAGAATGATTGAGCTAAACTACCTACAATTGGAGCTTCTATCTAGAGTGTTCAACACATCATGCTATACCATTTTCGACTAAAGTTTGATACTTTACCATGAAAGAAATTGTCATGTTTATGTCAAGCTAACCACGACACGAAAACCGGCCTTAGATTCTATGGTCTAGTACAAACAAACAAACAGACAGAAAGGAAGATGATTGAGAAAGAGATGACATATACATACGGGTGAAGGTAGTGCTCGAAGAGCCAAGCACGAAGGATCGAAACGGAACGTTCAGGCAAGCCTCTTTGAGGTCTCCAGGGATGAGCCTCCATCAAGGTCATTTGTTGATAAGCTCTTTGTTGCCTCAAATTTTGGTCTAAAAGCCTAAGTCTTGGAGTTTCACCTCTTGTTGTTCCTAGAACTGTTGCATTACTTGCATTATCTTTTTCTCCCATTGCTTTCTTGGTTTCCTTGATTTGAGCTACAATTGTATCTCTTAAACACCTGAAATGCCTTGACATTGCCCTGGAGGCTAAGGCAGAGTATGTATCCGCCGCGCCCGGTCCGGCCACTGCCTCAAAGGAAGACACTACTCCTTTCATTTGTTCACAGTAGTTCTTGTATCCTCTGTCCAACTACAAAACAAAAACAATACACCCCCACAAAAATAGGGGGCAAAAAACATTCAAAAAGACTACAAAGTGGTAAAAATCACTTCTATCAGATCAAAAAATAGGGAGTTTCTAAGGAAAAAATTTAATGAAGTCCCTGAATTGTCACCCATATATTTTTTTTAGCATTTATTGAGAAGGGCTTTATAGTCGCCTAATTAGTTCAAAGATTTCAATTTTAATTTTTTTTTTTTTTTTTTTTGACCCACAAAATAATTTCAACCAATTTAGTTAGTTAGATCAAAAGATCTTCTCTTTTCCTTTTTTCTGTAATTAATTAGCAATTTCTTTGCTTCTTTTTTTTTTGGGTGTTTGAAGCAAAAATTGATGCAAAATAAAAAAAAAAAAAAAAAAAAGAAGTAGAATTTAGGCACTTTTAATTTAATGCTTAAAAAAAAGAGTTATATATATAAGTAAAAACGGCATAAAATTATAACAAATTAGAAAGTAAAATATAATATATACCTTTTCCAACATGGTAAGCAACTTTGTCTTCCTCTTCTGCAATTCCAATAGACTAACACCATACAATGATGGATTAACATTGGAACTACTACTCGCATTATTATTGTTGTTATTATTATTGTTATTATTGGGGTTATGACTACGATCATCATTGTTGTCGTTACCCCCGCCTTCGAAATCCAATTGCTCTTTATTCTTCTTCTTAGACAATTTCCTTTGTAAATCATCATCATAATCCTTTGTTCCAAGATTACAGAACTCACTCAAAAGCTCCTGAGTGGGCCCCATATACTTAGAATTCCTCATCATTTCAAATTGTATACTCATACTACCACCACCACCACCACTAGTACTACTACCATCCACAACAACACTTTTCCCAAAAAAACCTTGTTGTTGTTGTTGGTGTTGTTCATCTTGTTCTTGTTGAAGATGATGAAAAGATTGAGACTTTCCCAAAAACCCGTCTCGAGTATTCGAAGACGGGGAAGAAAGATCAAATCTTTGACCATGATGAGGAAGATTATGTCTAAGCTCAAAGGATTGAAGGCTAATAGTGGATGGATTAGAAGACGAGAGCGAAAGCGAAAGCCCTTGACTCGGCCTCTCATTACCTTCACAAGGGAAAACACAAGGCCTTAAAGATGAATCATCAATAAACCCCATCTCTTGTTGCTGATGACGTTGCCGTTGTTCTTCTTGTTGTGCAACTCCGGATATTAAACTCTGAGGTTTAGGTTGAAACCCTATCATTTCTATACCACTAGTTAAGTTGTAAATTTCAGGGTTTGATTCAAAATTTTGAAGATGAGTAACTCCTAAATTATGAACATCTGAATAACAAAAGCTTGTTGATGAAGATGATTTCTCCTCCATTAATTGATGATGATTAGCAGCCATTTTTTATATATATATATATAAAAAAAAGTACCCAACTTTTTTCTTTTCTTTTTTTTTTTTTTTTTTTGGAATTGTACCTAATTTTTTTTTGCCCCCATTTTTTTGGGGAGATTACCTATCAAAAAAACCTTAGAATAATATTGAAATCAAATTTTTTAATAAAGGGTTTTGTTTTATTTTTGAAAAAAAACGCGAAGTTTCGAGCTTTAATGGTTATGCCGAGTTTGGAAGAGAGAAGAAAGAGTAGAAATGCTAACGGTTGCCATAAGTAGAGTAAAGATTTTGGTGGAGAAATTAAACTTCAAGTTTTTATGATTAATGGAGAGAGAAAGAAAAAAAAGAGGAAGAAGAAGAAGAAGAAGAAGAAGAAGAAGAAGAAGAAGAAGAAGAAGAAGAAGGGTGTGTTTTGTTTTATGTATGTATATATTATGAAAAAAAAGAGGTATTTTTATTTTTCTCTTTAAACAAGGCTTAACATAGTAAGGTATGAATAATGAAAGACACAACCTAGGAAAAAAAAAAAGTATGAAAAATCAGAAAGTGTTCAGACAAACAAACCCTTAACTTACCCCAATCCCCACTCATCCGGGTTGAATTATATCTTTGGGTGGGTCAATCATTTCCTGACAAAAAAAACATCCTATAATAATTAAATTGGTCCTATTTTAATTAATTTGTTGAGTAATTAAAATCACCTCAATTAATTTTATATTTTCTCTTGTGGAATTTAATAGAAGAGGTATATTAATTTTGTTTTTATATATGTAGTAATATACAAATGAATCATTTGATATTTTCTACTCTTTTGGTAGTTTGTACTTTGTGGAGAAATGGGTATATTAAATCAAAAGTTTCTATAAGATAAGTTATTTCAGATAGTTTATTTAGTAATTATATATAGGTACTTTTCACCAGCTTTTGTAAAATAGTGTCTTTGATCCACCAAGAACAACTCATTTAATTCTTTTTGTACCTATAAGTTGTAAGCATAGAGGTTACAACAAACTATAAGTTTACATAATCAACAACTTCTCTTCTTATCAAATCTACAAGGGGTCATCATTAAATGGTTGTGCCATTTTTTGATATAATATAAATGTTTTGTCACCGTCTGTTTTAATGAATATAATATATTTGTAATTATTTTTACTAGTACAAATTATCTCCAATATTTAATGTTATAGCTTACATTGATATACTCATCAACATGCAATTTATCCTAGAGATGTAGAGCATGCTTGTATGAAAATATTATTGTAAAAACTAACTAGTTAATTTAATTAAGTAAAGTAACGTCTTGGGAGATCGATAATATCAAAGATTTTGGATTAAATCACGTCTATCTTATTTTCTATGAAGTATAAAAATAGAGACTACAAAAGCATTTATGCACTTTCACCAAGTACACAAGTTTACTAGCATCAGTTGATTGTTAACCATTTTTGTCCTTAAATTTCTATATTGTTTGTAACTATTATTTGTGTTTCACTAAGTGAACAACCTATCGGAAGGCCTAAACCCTCCTAGGAAGTAGAATGTTCCGTTTACCAAGTGGAGCTCTTAGCTTGATAACAATATCCCTAGTCCCTACTACAAGTATATAATTCAAATCAAAATTTTACGTACCAATAACAATGGACTTCATCAGATCAAACCCCACAACTTTTCTACCTAAAAGATGATAATCTAATACTTAGCCCAAGAACTAGCTCTACAGAGGTTACACGTGTCTAAGTCATAACATATTCATGTATAAGAATAATATAAAAAAATAAATATTATGCTCATGAATCATGATGCTCATTTCTTTAAAAAAATAGGCACCACTTCCTCTATTTTTAATATAGTTTTTAATCTATGTTATTATTACGTAAAATTTAATCTTCTTGCACAAAAAATTTAAAATCAATCTTGTTATTTGTTGATTTAATGTCAGCGCATTTGTAATTGGAACCACCAATTAAATAATTAAATACTCATAAATTTAGTTAAAATTTTACTACTATTTAGATCTAAGTGTGGCAAAATATACTTTTCTCCATTGGCAATCTATTTATCGTAACACTAGAGACTTCATAGTTACTAATGTACATCTTCTGCTAATAATATTTTAAATTACATTTTAGTTAAAATCGTAAATAGGTTACGAAATAATGCTTTGAAATTATATATTAAGATTTTACATTGAGAGTGAGGGATAACTCAATTGGTTAGAGCTTCCCTTCCGATTTCAGGAAATTTTGGGATCGATTCTTATTTGTTCTTTGTAGCTCTCTAAACACTAATAAAAAAAAGATTTAACGTGATTATATATTTTTTTCATTAAAAACAAAACTATCATTATGACTTGCGTAATAGATATGGAATGAAGTATAAAAAGAATTTGTAATCTGTATAAGACATTGCAGGCACTTACACATCCAATCAAAAGAGTGTACTCCATAATCTAAAAAGTTAAGGTTTTAGTATTGAGAAATTGGGTGCACAAATCCCCGTAAGTCAAGTTATCACTATCCTATCAACTCGTACAACCAGTCATTTTTCAGGTTTATCATCAACATCTCCTAACCTCAGCTCTGTAAAAGGGATTCCTGTGAATTTTGTTCAGAAATTCATAATGTCAAAGACAGTCATAAAACAGACACATTTTTATTTTAAGAAAAAAAAATTGTTTTTTTTTTTAAAAGAACTATTTTTTGGAAGGAAAAAAAGGGGTTTCCCAAAATAAGAGGTTGTAGAGGAGATGAGATGAAGTGGTCCAAAATTTCCAACTAATTTCAATTAAAACCGGCCATCTCCTTATTAAAGTACTCCCACCCATCCCTCTCTCTCTCTAGCTTCCCATTGTTGCATGGGACCGCATCTTCTTTTTTATTTTTCATTAACCTAATTACTTTGCTCATTCTAAGATTATTACCTAAATATAAATATACATGGACTCGATTATTCATGTCCGACACATGTATGTGTTCAAGCGTCCAACTCAGTTATTATGTGGAAAAAAAATCCATAATTTGATACTAAAAAAAATGAATTGTCCAAGTGTCATACTCATGTTCGAATGTCGAGGATCTTGTATGAGGTACTTTAGGTGAAATGAAAAGTTAATGTAGCATAGATTATAACTAATTTCATATGTATTTATTTTCTTCAAAATATATTTACTTTGTTAGTCTATCAACTTGTTCTCTTCTAGTTTCTTGAGCACTATTTTTTAATAGAGTTCAGACATACTACTAAGCTTAAACTACGTGTTATTTGAAGATAAAAACTACGTAATAATTAGTTATATTTTACTCGTGTATGTATAATACCATTAAAAAAAAATATATATATTAGCCTAGGTACATAATTTTTTTTTTTCCAATCGCGTTACTTCGGAAGATATGTTTGTATCAACACACCAATGATGGATTGATGGTGATTGGATAGTATTCACGAGGAGTGTTAAGAACATATATAACAACATACTAGCTATAGTGGATTGTTGCACTTACCATACCCCCTTTCCCCAAGCAACGTATCTTAGATAATTCTTAGCTTATATACGTCTCAACATGCATGCAATGTAAAATGATTGACTGATTGAGTAAACAAATTTTATGTCATTTATCATAAAAATTATACGTGAATTAATTGCATTGTAAAGACTTAGATTGAATCAAATCTTTAATTTCTTTTGTTTTTGAACAACCAGGATCCTTCTTTTTCTATTAAACATTATTTTATTATTTGATAGAATACTAAGTTTCTATTTCTATAAATGTGCCATTGCTTGACATGTCCTTTTCCTAGAATAGTTTGACTTCTTTTGTAGTGTAAATTTTACATTAGGTTGAATTAGTTGAAGCAAATTAAATTAAACAAGATAATTGTGAAGGCAATGGGAGTATGTATAACATTTATTGAAATACAAAGAAGTATATCCTTTTGCGTAGAATATGGATGATGAGACATTTATTCTTTATCCATACACACAAATTAAATGACATTATTAATAATAAGTAGTACAACTAAATCAGGAATACGTTTGAGAGGGAAAAAAAAAAACCTAGTCAATTTTGAAAACCTTTTAGAAACTGAATTAGGCCTTATTCTTTTGCACTTATTTAGATTTTAGCTCTATTTAGTTTGGCTCAGCTCTATTAAGTTCATATCATCTTTTCAACTCAGTTCAATTCGATCAACTTACTTCACTCCAAAAGAACAAGACCTTAATGTTATTTACCATGTGTGCTAAGATTTGAAATGCACTAAAAAACTTCCAAGTTTTTTTAATACTTTTATGCATAATCATAAACATTGACTAATAATAATAGTAAAGTACGTTCTACCAATAATAAAAACTAACAATAATCAAGACTTAAGAGCGAATTAGTAGCACGAAGTGTTCACTAGAGATACAAATTATGGATTATGACCAAAGCTAAACGACCCAATAAATTGAAATACTTAATGAGGTAAACATATGAGTTGGAATTTTGGTGGAAGTCTTTGTATGTTCTCCCTCCCATTACAAAAGATCCTTTAATATTTGTCTCATAAAAAGAAGGTGGTCCTATTACTTCTACTTTTCTCCGCCGCTTACCATTTTCAGTTTTACTTTTTTTTTTACCCCTCTTCTGCAACTCAAATTTTACTATTTCACTATTGCTGGTACATGTAATTTTTACCCCCCAAACGAACTAGTATATTACTCCGTACTTCTTATTGAACTTTTTTGAAGCAGAGATCTATGATCTGATATTTGCTCCTTGGAAATAATGTTATATACTACGAGTACTTATATATTGTTAAAATAGTTTTTTTTTTTTTTTTTTTGACAGATATTGTTAAACTAGTTAGCAAGCAACATATTATATATCTCATCAAAACTAATAAGTTACTTGAATCTATTCTATAATTGTAATAAGCATGCATGAAAATCATAAATAACCAACAAATCACCTATTGTAACAAATCAAACTAGACTTGATCCTAGACTTCCTAGCTATCCAAATATACGTAAATTTGTTACCCACTACATACAATTTACATGTGAAAATGCAGGAAACTAGTTTAAATGACCAATATACTTTGTAAAAAGTATACTTCCTCCATTTTAGAAGTTATTATTCCATTGTTGGTTTGGCATGTTGGCCAGTGTGACAGTGTGCATAAACTTTTAGGAGGCGTTTGGTATGAATATTGGAAATGGAGTGAAAAAAAAACAAATAAGGAGAAGGAAAGGAATCATTTAACCGTTACTTTTTCATTTATTTGGTTTAAACATGTAAAAGAATTACTTAAACCTAACTCTCTTTAAATTTGTTTGAGGAGGGTAAGGGTAATTGGTACCTTACTTTTTAGAGAGGTAACAAATGGGTGGAAACCATTACCCTTAGGTTATGGTA